GGCTGTGGTTTTAGGCGTTGGGAAAGCAGAATCAGATATTAGACGTGGGTGGTTGGTGGGTGCTCTGGTGTGGTTTGGTTCTTCTTTCTTATCAAACATCTATCGTCCTGATCTCCCCTCCTTCTTTTTTATGTTTGTTACCTGTACTCTCTTGTAACACCTCTAATATTCTGGCGCTCATAATATGACCTTATGCAGTTGCGAGCGCAGTAAAACCTCTACTAAAACAAAACAGATATTGGACGATTTTCGCCCGGATGATCACAGAGCTTGGCGTAGGCTTATATCTGCTGAGATGTAGGTAACGTCAAAGGTACTGTTTTGTGTGTGTGTATTTAGGAGGGGGGGGGGGTTGTATTTGAATGCATATATTTAATATATCATTGCCTTATGTTTGTTTTAGTAAGGTTTAAACGACGCTCTTAGTTTTAGTAGTTTTAGTAAGTGTTATACCGCACTTGCAACACAATAAGGTCATATAAGGGGAGATAAGGGCGATAGATGTTAGACAGGAAAGAAGAAGCAAATCACACCAGAGCACCCGTCAACCACCCACAGCAGCTATAGTCTGTAGTAAGAGATTTTAAGTTTTAGTTTTAGTAAGAGTTTTATGGCACTTGCAACACAATAAGGTCATATAATTGCCAAAGATTAGAGGTGTTACAAGAGAGTAATAACAAACATAAAAAAGAAGAACGGGAGATAAGGACGATAGATGTTTAAGAGGAAAGAAGGAGCAAATCACACCAGAGCACCCATCAACCACCCACAGCAGCTATAGTCTGTAGTAAGAGTTTTACAGCACTTACACCATGATAAGACATATATGTGCACAACCTGTATCTTTTCATTATGGAAACTTTATCAAACAAATGAGTGTTTTATATGACGTGATGTGGGCCAATGGACTTAAACACTGAATATACTTTAGTTTTAGTACTATTTTTACGGCACTTGCAACACAATTAAGTCATACAAGTCAAGTGCCAAAAATTGGGTGTTTCTAGAGAGTAAAGTACAAAGAAAAAGAAGGAGGAGAGATAAAGACAATAAGATGTTTGATAGGGGAGGAGGAGAGATAAGGACGATAAGATGTTTGATAGGAAAGAAGGAGGAGAGATAAGGACGATAAGATGTTTGATAGGAAAGAAGGAGGAGAGATAAGGACGATAAGATGTTTGATAGGAAAGAAGGAGG